GTCATATAGTTACAAATAAATTGAAATAGAATTCATATAATAGGGTAACTCCGATATTTATGCCGCGCGAGGATTTACCGCAGAAGTCAAAAAGAATAGAAGAAGTGAGCGTACAAATCATTGTGGAAGAAAATATATATCCAGGTGTAGTATTGTGCATACAACTTTTCTAACAGCTGTCGTCAGAACGTGACATCTTATTCGCCATATTGCTACGATTATTTGAATTAGGTGTACGTCAGGATAATCATAAAATTAATACTATATTATCAGTTTCTTATTTTTAAATTGGACTGTTCCACCTTTCGATAAACTTCAGCTCACTTCCTAATCACCAATCCACTAATCACTATATAATAATTAAAATTTTTTTAATCGAAAGTACTCATAATGTTATCACTCGATTGTATTCATGTGCAATCCATTTTAATTGCATTCGATTTACGGAAAAGTTCCTCTTTGTGACTTAAAAACGGAGTCATATTCATTGAGTAGAAGGCACGTTTTTATTACTCAAAATAATCGTGAGTTAAAAACGTGAGCTGAAAACGGTGAAAAATTTTTATGATATACAAAAATGGTTTAAATTTTAGTAAAATATCAGATGTGTTGCAAAAGATCTAGCTAGCTGAATCATCGAATTGGATCCTAAATATCGTATAATTTAATAAAAATAGCTTCGTAAAAAATAATCATAATATAACAAATTCATCAAAAAAAATTTGTTTTAACTTAAGATATTTTTAAAATATTACATATTTATTTATGCATTGAGAATTCTACTGACTCTACGTCTTCGAAATAAACTATAAAAAGTAGGTTAAAATGTATTTTTTAAATAAAAATTATTGACAGTCGAAAGTTTTTAAAAAATTTGGCGAAAATTTATGCGAACACATTATAAAAAAAATTCTTTTCTGATGCGTTTTTCCGTAAAGTTTTTAGTTTTGAAGTAAAAGACATCGTAGAAAAAGTAAATTTTTGCACAAGAAATTCAATATCTGCGAAAAATAATCATAGGAACTTTTTCCAAAAAGCGTTTTAAAGTTTAGAGAGTAAAGTTTACGATAAATACTTATTTGTTAAATATTATCTGATGATGTTCCATTCAGGTAGTGTTTAAAAAAATAATAAAAATATTAAAAGGTCAGTTTTTAATTTTATGTAATTTAGGAAAAAAACATCACAAAGACGCGCGCTTTCTGACACGATAGCAATCGAGGTGTTTTTATTCTGTGAATCCTTTTGCTTGATCACAAGGCATATCACTATATGTATATTGCAATAATAATTAAGAAATAATTAAGATAATAATTTAGAACAAAATTATTCGTTTGCAGCTCCGAGAGGTACACCACAATTTGAGGAAGAGCAATTTTTATCCAAAGTATTTTTGTGGTTAGCAGTGATATTCATCTGCTGGCTGTTAATGGCATAACATTATTTCTAAATCATATACATACCAGTCTGCCCAATAATTTGTAATTTTTGTTTAATGATATCCTGTCGATTTATGATAATCGCAACATTATACATCGGTTTTCATTATGTGATTTTTACAAAGCCTCTTCGAAACAAAGAAATGAAAATACAAATTTACTTCCGCGTATTTAAAAAAAAACTGTGCAACTCTAAAAAAAATTTATTTTTCTCATTTTTACTTTAGAAAAGAGGCAAAAAGTATATTGAACCATTTTTTTGTCCATATAAAACGTTTTACACGATTTCATTGGCATTTACATACTTCGAACAGGATTAAGCTCCAGGCAAAATGCGAGGGAATAGCGATAGCGATAGGAATAACACGATTTTAACTCTTGAGAAATTGAATACATCGAAATATATAGTCTCTGGGTTGAAATCGTTCCCATCACTATCTCCATTTCTTCGCATTATACTTTCTTTTTATTTGGATAATTCTGATATTTTAATATTAATCTTTTTTATGTATATATTATATATAAATATATTATATTCAGAAGAAAGACGTAATAAGCATAAGGAACGTATAATCTCTTATTCAATATACAAGTATAAAAATGTATGATTTAAGTGAAAATACAGAGGAAAATATTATGTATTCATTAAGACGCGCGGTTTTATGAGAAACTGCAAATTTGAACAGTGTATATAATAATTAAATAAATATATGTATGTATGTATAGTGTATATAATTTTGAATTAAAATGAAAATTAATGTGTATGCATTTAAACAATATTATGATTACATATTAATATATACATATATAAATATGTATATATCATATATTCGTAGTTAATGCTTACTGAAATATTAAAATATAACAGCTCGTAAAAAAAATAGATTCTCACGAAAATATCAGCAATAATTAATTTATTCGCTTGTTTTAGCTCCGAGACTACCATGTCTTCAGCTTCATAGTTCTTCTTAGCTTCTTAGTATATTCCCTAGGTTTGGTTTTCCGAACCTATTTTTGAGGGGTCACAGTACCATGCATATCAATTAGATTCGTAGTTCTTTCATTTGATGATGCTTTCATTCTTTGGTGAAATTCTCTTATAACTCAAATCTCAAGAGCATATTAGATGATACTTAATGAAAATATTGTTATTTTATATTCTGAGATATAATTCAGTAATCATATTTTAATTAGAGATCAATTGAAATTATATTCAATTGAGAAGCGAAATAATTGCTTATATAAAATCTGACTCGAAATACAAAATAATTAAAACAGTGCTTGCTTAAAAATCTTTTATATGTCAACTCAATGACATGACAATTAACATGTATTAGTAAGTTAATTATTAAAAAGGATATTTCTTTCCAAAAAAAGAAAAATTTTATTACCTTCGAGAATAATTTTAAGAACATATAATGGAACCAAGAACCCGAATCGGAATTAGAACAGAAAACCGTTCCATAAGCCTGGTTTTTTTTTAATGAATCGAAATCAAGATCAAATTCTATAAAGTTTATAATTATACATAAAAATTATAATAAATTATTTATAACCGAAATTATTTATAACCAAATCAATAATATTATTTTCGATTCTTTCTCCTGTTCTTAATTTATATAGGTCTGTTTATAGCTAAATTAATTTTCATTAGCTCAGAGTATATTTCTTCTTCCACATGGGAAATTCTGAACTAGTGCAGCCAATAATGTATAGGTATGTATATGAAAAACTCTCCCCCTCACTGTTATTTCGCTTTTCCTCTCCTCCCACTCTCGTATTCGTTTGCTCATATTATCATTGCACTTATGATTTGAGTCACTACACATGTAAGAAAATTCTATCCAAAGCCTAGTGGGCTCTAAATGTCAATTTACTGTTGACGTAACGGTATTGATGTAAGAAAGAATTATTATAAATCAATTTTGAAATATCTTTCGAGAGAATTTATTGAAATATTTAGAATTTAAACATTGTAATAAATTGTTTTAAAAAAGGTTTCCTAATTATTGCGCACTAATTTTCGCACTTGACTCTTATGCACTTTTATTTTTATACTTGAAATAGAACTATCTTTGAATTGAAATTCAAAAATACTTATTTGGATTTAGTTGAATTATATAATGTGCAAAAAATTTTATTTAAAAAATTTTTAATTTTAATTGACGCAAGTTTATATTTTTTTATTGACGCAAGTTTAGATATTATTACTTGAATTGGAATAGAAAGATTATAAAGTTTTGAATAGAGATACAATTTAAATAAAATTGTATAATATGTAAAAACATAAATAAATCTTTTTCTTTGTTGATAAATAGGAAATCAAAATATTACCTATATTGTTTTGTGATAATAACAGAAAAGACTGAAAAATAACTAACTGTAACTCGTTATTTTTTAGAGTCAGTAACTTGTAACGGTAACTAATTACTTTTCGAAACAAAGTAACTCTCCCCCCCCAACCCTATATTATGTATCTTGCAATGTTAAGCATTTGAAAAGATAATAAAATAGATAGTGTTGCAGAGAAGCTATTTTTGCAAATGTTATTTTCTAAAAAACGTATTCAAGAATATTCACCACAGATTTTATTCTCAACAAGTTACTAATGCTCTTCTTATAACATACAATATATTATTTAAACGATATATTATTATTTTAATATATTACATAAGTACTTATATAAACTATATGCCACGACATAATTAGTGTGTAGATAATCTCCTGATAAAATAGAGCAGGCCTGTCCAATTTAAGCTCCAGAGCCAAAACGCAAACCTATCAACGCAAAAAAGTTCAATATAAGATTTCACAATGTAAGATATCACGGACTGTTGATAAGCGTCGCTCAGATACGTATCAACACATAATAGTCTCCGAAATCTTAGTTATATTGAACTTTTTGCATCGATGAGTTTGCGCTTTGGCTCCAGAAGTCAAATTGGACAGGCCTGAAATAGAGAATAAGCATATTTTTCTCTTTTTTTTCTTTCATTAATATTGAAAATAAAATAAGACAGTCATATAATTCATTACATTTTTTGTGTTTTATCGAACATTTTCGCGTATCAAGATTAAGAATCTGTTACTCTTGAAAAGGCATTTTTATCAATTGCCTTTTGAATGAATCATATACAATAAGAAATATATTAAACACGATCAGAATGATTCGATATCTGAAATAAATATACTCATATAACCGCACGATGTTACAGGAAAGTTTATAGCGTCAGTATACCATGCACTTTTCTAATCCTTTCATTAATAGGAATCATTGAGTCTTTTCATCTATCTTCGTTCATATGAAAAGAACTACTTACATAGAACAAAATATATAATAGATATCTAGTGAATATTCACATGTCCATATGGATAACTACTAGTAGACATCTGGATACATATAATAGCATATAGAATGTGTTGCTAGAGGTATAAAAAAATGTTTATATAAATATCCATTGAATATAACGTAGATACTTAAAATTAGATATTCTACGGATATTCAAGATATCAAATGGGACATTTGTACGTAGATCTATATCTAATGGCTGTTGATTAGGAACTCATGGATATCCCTAATATCCATAGGAGATATCTAATATATTATGTTCTGTGTAGGTAGATATATAATAGTTCTCAATCTGTCAATAAAAATTTAATCTAAATTTAATTTAAATTTATTTATATCTAGAATTTGTGTGCCATGTAATTCAGAATCATCCAATCTTCAATTTTAATTCATAAATTTTATACTCGTCGATGTGTATGATAATTTTGAACAGATGTTATGTTAGGTGCGTTCTGTTTACACGCTTTAGGCGTGCTCAGTTCATGCTTGTTATCTATCAAACATTAAACAAGGACAAATGAAGCTTATAAGCGCTGTAAGCCCAAAACGGAACGTACTCTTAATTTACAGATGATATCATTATCATGCGATAAAATCATTCTCTTTGAATTCTATATACAAAAAAGAGAATAGTGCTCTAATATAGCTAGGTTATATCTGTACATTTCGGCCGATTTTCAATTTGGTTGAATGCCAATTGGCATTTAGACTACGTGCTGATTAATGAGATAAGGGCGGGAGCCAAACTGAAAATTAGTCGAAATGTGCAGACATCACCCAGTTCTGCTCTAGTAACTAGAGTACTGCACTATATATAGTTTCATCACAAAAAAGGTGAACATAAAAAGATTCTAGCAATATCTGTGCCATTTTGGGCAACATTTAAAAAGCCCTTATTTCTGTAAATATTCATAGTACATTGTAAGAAATTATCGCGATATACAGGGTATTCTGAAATTCGCGAATCAAAATATCACAAGTGTTCAAAAAATTAAGTAAAAAGATTGTATATATTTTTATTTAAAGCAATAATTTTTTGCAAAAGTATAAATTTAAACACTTTATTTATATATTTAAACTTTAAATATAGCCACTTACAGATTATATTTCGACAATCATCTATCTGAATCATACGGTAGTATTAATAGCGCACATTTCAACGTATAAACAGCCCGTAATTGATCTTATGTGAATTATAACTATTTCACAAACTATTGCTTAAAATAAAAATTTACAAATAATCTTTTTTAATTTTTTGAAGACTTTCTCACTGTGGTATTTTGCGAATTTATAATTCGCGAATTTTGGAACATTCTGTATACTTGCAAATAATAATTCCTATTATTTTGTGCAATTATAATTATTTTGGCATTAATGTCCTAAACATTATCGTTTATGACAGGAGGATATTATTAGTTATGAAAGAAGACAAACACTATCGAGATACTTTATGAAAAAATAGTGGCGAATTTATTTAAATATCACGAGGGTCGTGTGGATCCGGGAGTTTCTGCCAGTTCGGTTCAACACCCCAAATCTCGCGCGCGTACTCCGCTATTGTACGATCTGATGAGAATTTTCCCGACGATGCTATGTTATGGATAGCCATTTCTACCCACTTGTTCTCGTCCTGAAACAATTAACAAGCGACTGTATCATGGAGCTCTTGTAGGAAATTAAAATTTCAAGTTAAAATTAAATTTAAATTAAAATTTTTTTAAATAAGAATGTAGGAATGGTGATGAAATTGACCGATTGAAAATAATCGCGCAGTCATATATCTGAGATAAAAATCTATTTTAAATATATGTGCTTCTATTAGTCTAACATCTAACTTTGATATAATTGGTATTTCTCATATCTAGTTGATTTACATTTTCTAGTCAGTCTTTTTTATAAAAAGCTTATAGAAAAGTAGTTATAATAAATTAAGTACCTGATAGACTTTGCTAACACGATCCTGCATGTTTATATAGCTTTCATAATCAGCCAAGAGTAGGAATCTATCCCACTTAAGCAATACATCAGCGATATCTCGGAATTCATCAGGGTTATTTGGACTGAAAAATCCTCCTTGGATTTGATCGATACACTGTTTAGCTTCCGGTAATTTATTGTAATAATCGTACGCATTATAGCCTTTTTTTTGTAGAGCCTCTACTTCCATCACTGTCATACCAAAAATGAAAATGTTTTCATTACCCATCTCTTCTGCCATTTCTACATTTGCTCCATCTAAAGTACCAATGGTCAATGCGCCGTTTAGCTAAAAATAAAGCAGAGCTCCATTATCTAAACCCAATTTTATAATTTACAATTTTTAAAAAATAACTGCAATAATACAAATACTTAATGTTAATACTTATTAAATAAATTAGATAAGAGCATAAGAAGTAATTAAGATTATTTGTGGTTTCATGTTTGTCAAATGAGTTTATTATCGAGATTATCTCGTCAGACATGTAAACAAATGCGTAATCTGAAATTTCATTTCGTTGCCAAGTATTACTGACCATAAATTTCATATTGCCAGTGCCAGACGCCTCGGTGCCAGCAGTCGAAATTTGCTCGCTCAAATCCGCGGCTGGTATGATCTTTTCGGCCAGAGTCACGCGATAATTTTCAAGGAAGATTAATTTGAGCTTATCGCCGACGATCGGATCATTATTAATAACATTAGCAACGCTGCAGATGAGTTTAATGATCTTCTTCGCCAAATGATAACCTGGTGCTGCCTTACCACCTATCATCACAGTTCTCGGAACAAAATGAGCAGACGGATCTTTTTTTATTCGATTGTATAAAGTGATAACATGTAGACAATTCAATAATTGTCGTTTGTACTCGTGTATACGCTTCACCTGTTAATAAAATATCATAATTCGATGTTATATCATTTTATCTCAAACCTAGTTGAATTTTTTTTCATGCAGTTTAAAATTCGGCTCTCAGAGACGAGAAATGGACACGCAATAAATTAATTGCAGTTTTTAACAACTAAAAAATGTATCATTATTTCAGGAATTATTTTATTTTTAACTTTTACATGAAATATCAAATATATGTGTCTCAGTATTTGTATTCATTGTATTCTAACCTGGATATCAAAGATAGATGCCGGATTAACCCGAACGCCATATTCTTTCTCTAATGTTTGAGCTAGTCGCAATTTATTTTCCTGTTTGACTTTAACAATGTTACGTTGAAATACCGGATCCTTCGCCCACTTCTTCAATTGCTGCAATTGTTCTAAATGAACTGTCCATTCGCTACCGATTTTCTACAAATTATAAAAAAATTACAAAATCATATACATGTAAAATATACATGTGTAAATCGTAATTATAAAAATTAGAAATTTGGATTGAATTCCAATTGAAATTGATAACCCTTTTATAATCTTTTCTTAAGATGAATCAAAATCATTAGATGTATTGAAATTTTACAAAGTTTATTTTATATATACCGAAATCATAAATCGATAAAATTAATTTATAGTTTTTTTTTCAGTATTTAATACATAATTTGTTATTTTTAATGTTTCATTTATTTTTCGAAAATCAACCATTTCTTAAAGCTAATAACATTTTTTTTTAAGACAACATTTTTATTTTTTATTTTATTTGATGACGTTATTAATTAAAATAATTATTCTTAAATAAATCGTGCATTTAAAATCAAACAAATATTCTTTTAAATCCAAATCCCTAATTAAAATAACTTCACGTATTTGAATACTGACTTCTTCAATTATATCGGATAGATTTGGATTACAAAGTAACAGCCATCTTCTCGGCGTGATACCGTTTGTCTTGTTTTGAAATTTCTCTGGTGTCAGTTCGTAAAAGTCTCGGAAGCTAACAAAAGGAGAAGATACATTAAACGTTTCAATAAAGCATTGTTAGATTTAGATCTAAGAAAATTCTACGTACACACTGTCTTTGAGAATTTCTGAATGAATACGAGCAACTCCGTTTATGGCATGACTACCAACGATTGACAGATGAGCCATATTGACTCTCTTTTCACCTTCCTCTTCTATCAAGGACATTTGACGAATACGATCCATATTGCCAGGCCATTTAGCTGCGACATTTTGAAGATGCAAATGATTTATCTCATAAATGATCTGCAAATGCCTTGGAAGAATACTCTCCAACATATGGGTGGGCCATCTTTCTAATGCTTCGGGAAGAACCGTATGATTTGTATAGGCGCATGTACGTGTCGTAATATCCCAAGCCTAAAAGTTAAGATTTTTCAAGATGTCTGTTTCGTATGATAAAGACATCCATTTTGTCAATGTCAAATTTCCGTCACTATTAAGCATACATTTAGATAAAAGCCGGAAATTGAAAAAATCGATCATTTACAGTAATCAAAATTTTAAATACGTCGAAGGTTTTGTATTTTTTTTTTTTGAAAATATAATATATCTTATTTGAATTCGCATAACTTATAAATTACCAGATTCCGAATCTAAGAGATGTAAAAAATGTTTTAAATAAAAATTATTTTTTCTTAGAAGAATATTAAAATGATTTTAATTTGGTTTTGATTCATGATCATATCAAAGTCATTATTTTAGAATGGAATAAAAAATATAAATTAACCTTACACATAAAAAATATGAAAATACATAATTGTATGAAAAAGTATGCAACCGCACATTGTAAGTTGTAATTCTTTTTCTATTTTAACAAATTTTTTAGAAATATCTTTTTTTTTAGTATGTATAATAGATACTAAATAATAATGCCATATGCATATGATAAACATACCTCCTCCCAAGAGAGTCTTTCAACATCGATAAGGATTCTCATTAGCTCGGGAATAGCTAGAGACGGATGTGTATCGTTGAGTTGAATAGCTACTTTATCAGGGAAAGCTTTAAAATCAGTTCTATGATGCTCCCTTGAGCCGAATTTGCTAGCTTTATATCTTCGGATGATGTCTTGCAGAGTAGCAGCTACCATAAAGTATTCCTGTTTCAATCTGAGTTCTTTGCCTTCAAAGAAATTATCGTTGGGATAAAGAACTCTGGAAATATTTTCTGCCAGATTACGATCAATCACCGCCTGTATATAGTCACCATCGTTAACTGAAAGTCAGTAATACAGAAGAGTCAAAATATAGAAAGACTATTGTTGTATCATAGAAACTTATTGAAATTCAGTACTTACAAAACTTCAAATTAAATTCTGTAGGCGATTTTGCGGACCACAGCCTCAATGTGTTAACAACATTATTTTTGTAGCCAGGAATTGGACTATCATACGGCATGGCAAAAATAACCTGTATTAATAATATTAAATAAAATAGCATAATTATTATTATTACAGATTATTTATACGAAGTATCCCAAAATCATCGGACATTCGTTTAATCAGACATTTTCTATAAAATTTAGAATTTTTTTACTAAAATATCGAGAAATTCGTTATTTATTTCTAATTTTGTGCATTTTTGTGGATAAGCTTTGAATTAAAACTTTGTTGAAATATAATGTTGACATATATACATAATTTTGTCATATTTTCTCTGCAGGATTTTTAGCTTTATATTTTCTATTTAATTGTATTAAAACTCTAGATACGTCAGCATTTTGAAAAAGAGAGATCAGTACAAATGGCAGGATTGGATAATAACTAGTTATTAAGTTAAAAGATAAATAAAATAAGTTAAAAAATTAATAACTTTTAATTGAGTTCAATTAATTTCAAATTAATTAATTTTTAACTTAATTTAATTATCTTTAAACTTTAATTTATTACATTTACTAAACAATAAACTGTGCTTGAGTTTATTAAACACATATAGAAAAATTTGATTCATAATCAAATGGTGTTGTAGAAATCAGTTCATTCCTATCATCAATAAACTTTGTCATAATATTTCATCTTATAATTCTAGTAAAAAATTATTAATTAAATATACTTAAAAATGAAACTGAAAACATTGCGATTGAACCCCGATATTCTTATCATAAGAGCAAATAAGAGTAATGTAACGGTTTTAATTATGTGAATTTATTTATATATATGTGTGATGATATTAAATTTAATTAACAATTTTTACAATAAAACACTGTTATATCATAGTTTATTTTGGAAAAAAAATTATATAATATAATTTTTACTAATGTGTTATATCCTTCACAAGATCTGTTACTCACGATCTCACAATTTAAAAGCAGGATGATCGTAATGATTGGCATCATCGTCGCATTACAACAGTGCGTTTAAACTGTTGGCGCTAATCTACGAGAGTATTACAATGAGTGTCAAAATTGTATAACAGCTTTTTTAACAGTACCTCTAATTTTATATTACTAATGTTCCTGGATTTAGAATAAATTTGGCATTTTACTTTGCATAATTTTTTAATTTTCCAATCTGTATGTGACTTTAAATTTTGTACTATTTTTGATCACCAATTGTTATAACCTTGATAATAATTTCATTTTCACGAGTCAAAATATTTGTATAAATGCATGAATGTTGCTTTGCAGTTTTGTAGTTAGCATTAAAGTTTTAATTTAATTCTCTTTTAATCTCTTAATTTATGATTGATTTTTAATCATTTGAATCGTTATTTCTCATCTTATTGTTTAATTTATTAACCTTTTCTTTTTTAAATTAAAGTTTTTTTTATCTCTATAAATAAATTTTCTATAAAATCTTCAACATTAAAAATAGCTCAATGATTGTGCGATGGACACGACGCTCGTAGTACCCAAAAATAAACATGAGTTGAGTCTGCATTTAGGGAACGCTATTGCATCACGCTCATTTCATGTCTAACAAGCAATAAAAAAAGAATAAAAACTTTTTTTAAATTCATATTTTCGAAAAACGTGCGAGCATAGCCAGTACAAAAAGAAGATATAAGATTACTTACGTTCTTAAAAATTCTATTTTATTTTTCTTTTATATCAAAATATGAAAATATCTATGTAAAAGTACTAAAAGTTAGTTTTTATTGTACAAGAAATATCTTTTATTTTATATTATTTACAAATAAAATATTAAATGTATCTATATAATTGTTTTCATTTAAAGTAATTTAATTTTTTTTAAATTAGGATATCCTAATAAAAGATGTTTTTTAAAATTTACTTTTTATTTAACTTAAGTTAATACAGTCTTAATGTAAGTTTAACTAAATTAGTTTTTTGTTCACTCAACTTTTGACTTAACTAATTGTAAGTTAATTTTATAAGTTAACTTAATTTAGTTAAAAAAACCCTTATCTAACCCTGCCAAATTGTGATATGTAATGAAACAACATTTAGCAATTTTTTGAAACATACATTCTATAAAGTATCATGTATTAAAAGGATTTATTACCTGCGTATTCACCCACTTTTTGCCCTCTGAAGTGTCAATCACATGGCCATAAAAGTTTACCGGCAACATAAATTCTGGCCGAGCTTTTTCCCAAGGATTACCATATCTAAGCCAATCGTCGGGCTCCTCTATTTGCTCACCGTTTTTTATTTTCTGTGCGAATATACCATATTCATAACGTATACCGTATCCATAAGCGGCTAAACCTAATGTAGCCATACTATCTAAAAAGCAGGCAGCTAGACGACCTAGTCCTCCATTACCGAGTCCGGCATCTTCTTCAAGTTCTTCCAATTCTTCTATATCCAAACCCATCTATAAGAAATAGTTATATGGAATTTTATAGATGATATAGAGTTGTACATATAAAATGATTAAAATGATCTGTGTCCTAAGCACAA